TTGACGTAGCTTTCTGTGACATTTTCAAAAACCGGATACTACTAACAATATCAAAGACTTCTAAATGGTTCAGGAAAATGATGATTTTTTTCGCAAACTCCCATCGAAAAAATCTTTTGATAGAAAGTCATCATTTGGAACTAATATCAACTTCCATCAAGTTTCATTTGGATCCTGTGCTCTAAAGCTGAATTCCAGCATACCGAAATATCTGATTTCGCCACTAGTTTTAATTAAAATAGATTTTTTTCTTGTTGTCCATTTACATTTTTTGTGTGTAATTGTTTATACAGTTTTTCAATTTGTTAAATCTCAATAACCATGAAAAAAAAGTTGATACAAGCTGTTTATAGAAATAATTCCAAGCTTTTTTTGTATATATTTTTATTGTTTCTATTTTATATTTTTTTTGTACAGATATTAGTCCATAGTTGTTAATTAATCAAACAGATTTAATCATTTTTTTGCAGTGAACTTTGTTAAATCTTTTTTTTCGGAATTGAAAGATGCCTTCCTTTTTGATATCCTGACAACTTCGACTCGGAGCTGTTTACGATCTCAGGAATACAGTAATGTATGGCGAACCTCTTAAAAAGCCTCTTACTGAAGAAAAAACCATCCTATATATTTCCTATATTTTTATTGGAATCCTATAAAAATGCCACTTTTAAAATCCTATATTTTCCTATACATCCGGGACGGATCGCTACGAAGCCTGAATATTAGGAGCTTTACGCAAGATGTTATGTTACGTACTTGACTTTCTTTATGTGAACGCAAAATGACAACAATCTTTCTATGTTCGAACAAACAATATATGTATATATAACAGGAACGAAAAAACAAAGTAACAAATGAGAGTCTCACAAAGATGAAAGAGAAACACGAGAAGAAGAAATATCACACGAAAGATATGAATGTGTAGGTGCGACATCACTGTAACAACAATTAAACCCGTTGCTTTCATTGAAAAAGGAATTTAGCAGTGGGAAACGTTTTCTCGTTATATGCACATCATAAAGCATCTGATGAAGCTGTACAATTAAGTCAAAACGTGTCGTAGTAATTTCATTTTGCTCAAACTCTCCCTCACATTGTCACCCTCTTAGTGTCCATACAGTAAATAAACTAAATAATAAAGAAAAAAATTTGATTCTAAAAATTCTCTTGAGTTTTATTAAATGTATAAAAAAGATATAATGTTAGAAAAGAGGAATGCGCGGACTTGGATATAGTTATTCAATAAATTTGTATCATACGGTGATAAGGTGTGTGTCCTTTTATTGATGTGTACATTGGTGGTAAGTCATGACAATGTTCACAGAGATCGAAATTTGAACATTGAAGACAATAGTAACGATTACCATCACTTAAAAATTTACCACATCTATCACAATATGCATCCCGGCGTATATGATTTGAAGAATGACTTTGATTGGAAGACAGTTGCTGTTGTGTTTGTCGATGATGTTTGTGAATCCTTCTATGTTTGAGAATTTTATCATATATGTGCTTACCCGCTGCAGCAGCCGCACCTTTTAATAATGCAGGAGCTACTATCGCAACTAAATGCACAGGCATAGTTCTCTCTAAATAATGATTAAATTAACTATCTTGTTGAGATGATCGTCTATACTTTTTCTTACAAATAGTAAATATGGGGTCGTTTCGAATAGAGATGCCCAAGTAGGTCACAACGTTTGTAGAAATGCCTAATTTACATGAAACAAATGTAAATTTCGTCTATTTATATACGCATTTATCATTTACTTCTGCGTAAATCATTTCACATAAATAAGTGTGTGGAAATTACCCCTTTTGCTACTTTTCTCTTTATTACGATGTTTATACAACGATTGGAAAAAACCAGGCATGTACAACGAGTGTAGACAGGCGAAAAGAAAATTAATCATCTTTAACATGACACGATAGACATTAGATAACGCCATCACATTTAATTAGACAAAGTATGCATATTTCTTCCTTGTACGTACATGGTTTTTGCCAAGTATGAATCGATCACTATAAGGTGAAAACATAAGAAAGAACAAAATATCTAACACGTAAAACATTGAAATGTGTGATTTCTAACATGTCTGCTTTTTCTGTTGGATTCAATTTGAAAAAAGTTCATCTTTATAACAATAACACTATTTATCTCAATGATACAGTATCGAGAAAAATATTATAAAAAATGAAGCGAAATAAATTTGAGAAAGTC